AAAAAAAAAAAAAAAATCCAATCCCAAACAGCTATTTCAGGGAGGATCAGCCTGGAAGGCCACAGATCACCTGGTGCACCCCTCACTGGCGGCTGCCAAACAAGGAGCCCAACGCGAGCAGGACAGAGGGCCCAACGGAAGGCTTGGCGACAGTGGTGTATTGGATGAGGTACTCTGGGTAGACCTGGTGCTTCTCAAAGACCACAAAGATGGAGGGGTCGGACACACTGTTCACGCAGCTGTCATAGAAGACGTTGCTCTGGCCTTCCTTGGCCGGGGGACGGACAAAGGTACCGTTGCCCCTGACAAATTCGCCCACCAGCACCCGTGCCAGGAACATCATGTGGGACTGCGTGTCAGATTTGCTGTAGTGGTGGGAATACGCAGCATCGCGGGCGAAGTAGCTCCCTGTAATGACACACACAGGCTCAGCTGGGCACCTGCCGCTAAGTGGGGGGGCCGGGGGGCCGCAGGCAAGAAAGGGAGAAGCAGCAGCCCACTGGTGGACAATGTCTGGGCAACACACACACACCAGCGGCCCCTGCTCTTACTTCATCATATCTCCCATCCTCTCTCTGTCTCCTTTGTCCATCCTTCCTCATGAAGGAGTCACCAAACAGGGAGAAAACTCCTTTCAAGTTCCGAATCCATCACACAAAACCTAAAGGGCTCCGGGTACATTGCTATTGAACCCCCCGAACCTCAGTTTCCTCAACCATAAAACGGGGCTGTTCCACCCAACCTCCGAGGGTTGGTGAGGAAAGTGAATGAGACCCCACATGTGGAACCACCCTGTAGACACTGGCAGCCCAACGTATAGAATCATGAGTCTTGTCAATGGGGACCTAAGTTGGAAGCTGCCACCCATACATTCAAGTTCACAAAGCTACCCCAGCTGTTGTCCACTTGACGCCAGGCCCTCACTGCATCAGACTGAAACTGATGGGGAACTGATGGAGCTGGAGCATGGACCACAGGCTAACACACTTTGTAAACTCGGTAACCATGCTGTGGTTCTAGAAGATGATAACACCCTTGTTCTTAAGCTGTGTTAAAGGGTGAAGGGGGACAATATATGCCACCTACTTAGAAATGGTTCAGAGAAAAAAGAGAACAAATGGCAAAATGTTAAAATGGATGAATCTAGGTAAAATTTATACGAGAGCTTTTTTATATTATTCTTGCAACTTTCCTGTGAGTTTGAAATTACTTCCAAATAAAGTTTAAAGGTAACTAAGAGGAAAACACTCAGATTCTCATGATAGCTAGAATACACGTGCATGTGAGTGTCTCGGAGGTTTTCAGGTTTCCATTCTACGGAAATAGTGAAGGCACAACCCAGGGACCTAATCAGGGCAGGGAAGGCAGCCTGCCTCCTCTCCCAGCTCTGTTACCATCTTCCAGGGCCTCTCCTCCATAGGGAAGCAACACCCCAGCCCAGGCAGGGCCGCCCTGCCCACACCTAGAGCCAAGCTCCTGGCCACACACACGGAGCAGCCAGGGCAAGGGTGTGGTGCGCAAGAATCCCCAGAGGGCCCGGCACCGCCGCTCACCAAGTCTGACCCTGCTCAGCAGCTCAGGCAAGCCACCCCCATGTCCTCTACCAGCCTGCTTTAAATGGTTTCCCAGGCCCAGGGGGCAGGCAACACAGGGTTCTGCTGGTGGAGGCCTAGCCTTGCCTTACCCTTGCCGTAGGAAGTGCCATGAAGGCCACAGACTCGCCAGTCAAAGTTCTGCTGGCAGATGGCGTCCACGAAGTTGGCACTGGTGCCATGGAACAGCTGCCTCTCGTCCACCACCTTCCCTCCATTTTGCTTCTGCATCTGCCCTTTTTGCCTAAAATCACAGAAGAACAAGTATTGGGGGCAGAGGGCACCAGCCACCAAATACAGCAGACCCAACCCAAGAAAACACATTTTGCCAAAGTGCCAGAAGTGTCCTGAGACCAGGGGATGTGGGTCACGGGCTGCCCGGGCCAGGCCCATGAGGCTCTAGCCATGGGCCAGGGAACGGTAACAAAGTGGAGCATGGTACACAGGTGAAAACCCTGCCTCCACAGCTCTGGACCTCCAGTGGCTCCGTGGATTCCAAAAGCAGAGCAGCTACCGGAGAGCAGGCACAACTCATCTCCCCACCTTGCTCCTGTGGGGAGCAGAGCCTGGGAAGACAGAGAAGCATGGCAAGGCTGCTGGCCCGTGGGGCCATCCTCCTCCCCTCTGCCGCTGCGCTGACTTCATCACTGTGCATAGGGTGCAGATGACACCATCCCACCTCACATGGGGACACCTGAGCAAGACTCAACCTGCCATGGTGACCTGCTGTGGGTCTCCTCCCCACACAGACAAGTGCCCGGATGCCCCCAGGACAAAATGGAAGCCCCTGCTCTCCAGCCATGGCCTATGTTCCCGGGCTGAGGGTGTAGGTGGGCTGTGCTGCCCCCTCCAACCCTCCATGTTCACGGAGGCAGAATGGGCAAGGAGAGTGCTGGCTCTGCCACAGGTCATGAAAAGGAATGGGAGCTAAGCTCTGGGCAGCCTCAGTGCACTCATCTCTACAAGGGATGTGTGCCCCGCAGCTCTGAGGATGAGCGGGCAAAGGAGCGCAGACACACAGCGCCTGGCACGCAGCAGCCCTGGGTGAGAATGGCTGCTGCTCTGACTCTCCTTGGTTAAGCGGCTAGCAGCGTAAGGAGACAGAGCCACCAGCCCACCAACAGTGAGCCCCCACGCACCACTGGTAGACCTCCCAGAGGGCCAGGTTCTGGACTCGCTCAATCTTCTGAACAAAGTAGAAAGGCAGCGTGCGGTTAAAGAGGCTCCAGACTTTCCGATACTCTTCTGAGGAAGAACTGAGGGTGATCTTCTGCAAGGGGCAAATGTTTTTAATATGTTATTGTCCAAGTACAGAATACAGATTAATCCGTTCCCAAGGCTGCTTGTAAATTCTAGAACTGCAGAAGGACAAAAACCCAGAAAGTGATGACTGTATTTCCCTCTCCTCTGATATGTGGTCTCTCCAGGCACAAGAGACAGTAAGTCCTCACTTAACATCATCAAGACGTTCTTGGAAACTTCAACTTTAAGCAAAACAACATACTGCATGCTGCAGGAACTTAACTCTTGTTTACAGCAATTAGCATATGGTAAAATTTGTTTCGTTATACAGTACTTCCTTTTGCTTAAAGTCAGTTTCCAAGAAACTGACGATGACGTTAAGCGAGGACTCACTACGTTTGCAAACTGTAGTCACTTTCCTCTTGATTGCTGTAAAACCAGCGCTAAAGACAGACACGCAATGCTTAAACCAGGTGTCCCAGGTGTCCTTGATCTTCTTTTGTGTCCCAGAAAGGCCAAAGACAAAGTTAGACTGCATGGTCTACAGGACCATGCACTTAGTGTCATGTCTGAATTCCTCCAGCCCTTAGCACATCCTGCCTGCACTGTAAGTGTCTGTGCTTTGAACAAGCTCAATGACATAAGTCCTCCCAAGACAGACACTGTCACGTTGTAAAGATTTGTCTGCACACTGCTTGGCAAGGAGGCCACCTGTCAGACATCAGTCCAGGTATCCTGCACAGACAGGTGGTGTCTGATCAGAGCTCCCTCCCTTGGTTTCTCTTTCTTTTCTTGCTTAGTAAAACTGATATTTATCTGCTAAGCCCAGCTCATAAGCTCCTTATTTCTGCCCTTTCTAGCCAATTTCACAGCTCATCTTCCTCCTTCCACAAGACATCCTCTCCCTGCAGAGCCACAGCCATCTCCTGGGTGGTTACCTTAATTTAAAACCCCCAAGACCTAAAAAAAAAAAAAAAAA